ACTCAAAAGGTATCTATCAGGTTTACATACGTCATTCCTAAGGGTAACATTCAGCTATAATCTTATCTATATGGTGCAGCCAGGGCTTGGCCAGAGTGGTCATTCCCTGTGCTCTTTAATATTTCACACAAGTATTTCACACAAAAAATAATTTTTCTACATTTCCTATAACACTAATTATTTTCTATTGCTATAACATTGTAACACTCTTTACTTATTTCCTATCATTATCACGATGACACTTCCTCATATTCCAAGTCATTGGTTTGATTCTCAGAATCCTCTACTCTACTGTTGAATCACTGTAAATTATTGTTATTATTATTTTATTGATTTCAGAGAGAAAGGGAGAGGGAGAGAGAGAAACAGAAACATCAATGTTGAGAGAGAATCATCGATCGGCTGCCTCCTGCATGCTTCCCACTGGGAGTCGAGCCTGAAACCCAGGCATGTGCCCTTGACTGGAATCAAACCTGGGACCCTTTAGTCCACAGGCCAATGCTTTATCCACTGAGCCAAACCAGCTATGGCTATGTGTGTACAGTCTTGTTGTAGTTGAGTTTTGATTGCTGTTGGTGTCACTGGGAGGAATTGACATCTAGGCCAATTGGCTGTGAGGACCAGCTAGGACTACAGTGGAAGAGCTGCTGTGCAGGAGACACCCCTATGGAGTAGGACTTGCTTCAGTGGCCTGCATGACTGCCTTACAAACTCAGATCAAAAGTATCCAAATAGAATGGTCTGAAATTAAAACTTCTTAACTAAAAACAAGTCATGGCAGGTATTCATATCCTAGGTTGGTATCTTCCTTGATAAAGGTCAATCTTTATCTTAATTGAGCCTGCCTGTTGTCTTTTTGCATCTAAGGTAACATATTTGATAACATACCTTTGAAATGTTAAGAGTATTGTCCTCCTCTAGATCCCTCAGGGCACAATCTCTACATCTATCAATAATGAATTTCACTTTCACGTAACCCTTCTTATGCCTCCTCCTTTTATTGTAATGTATAAAATAAGGCACAAAATTGCCATTCTCTAAAGCATTTTCTCAATCCATTGAGATTTTGCTTCCTGGCAGTTGTCATCAAATTGGCTCAAATAAACTCATAAAAATTCTTACAGGTTAGACATGAACTTGGACAAGGTAGAAATGTAAGTGGGGACTGATAGGGCAATCAAAGTTCTGTGACAGCCAAGAATAGGTAGATTTTTCAGATACTTGAGGGCAAAGACATGATGGCAGTTGAGGTTTGAGAAGGGTACACACCCCACTTGACTCCTCATAGAAACCCAAAGTAGGTGCATTTGAAGACAGTCTAAGAAAAAGAGTATGAGAGAGAACTAGTGGAAAACTGGAGTAATTAGGGTTATTTGGCTTGGAGAGAAGAAGTGTTTGAAGACCTGACTCTATGAAAGTTCCTAGAAGATTTGGTAGGCTTACAATATAGCAGTGCTGATTCAGGTTAGACATGCAGCAAATGTCCTAATAAGCACTTCCAAGTCAGGAAGAAATGGCTTCCCTCTCCCTAACTGTCTTTCAGAACAGTGTACAATGTGCTTCTCTTCCTTCAGCTTTGAATTAAGAACTCTTAAGAAGCAGGTGGTTGAATCAGGTGATCTGGTATAAACTGCAAGAAGTTCTTGGTGAAGAAATGAGAAGGGATCTTCTCAGGATCACCGAGTTCCATCTAGGTCTGCACAGGTATAGGTCTACCTGTACCTGGTGCACCACCAGGACTTTCCCTTACCCACATCCCACCCATCTCTTACCCACATCCCTACTTTCATTACCTAAAGTATAGTCTGAAGCTTTCTACATCCCTGGCCTAATTTCTTTAATGCTTCCCATTGATCATAATACATCCCTTTTCTGATGAAAACATCAGCCTGACAGGGTGAGTAGAGCACCAGCCACGGAGAGTGTTCAGGGCTAAACCCAGCTTTCCTCCTATGGTAGAGAATGCCTCAGAATTAGGTGGTGTAGAGTCCTACCCAAATATCTTTAACTTCCTCTGGAATTCTTTGCTCTGGTCCTTGCTTTCATTTCATTTTCTTGCAACCCAAACATCTTTATTTTGGTTCTAAGTCACTATCTTTTGTGATCAAGGATTATAAATAGTTTGTGATCTGGGGCTAGGAATTTGTCTTTCTCTGGATCCTGTTTTTTGTTCCTTTATCCTCTAAAACAAACACCCCTCCTTTGATATTCCTTTTGAAACTTTGACCTCTAATATGGACCATAATAGTTAGCCTTTTTCATTGAGTACTCCCTGAGAACCAGGATCCTGCCCTCCCAAGTCAGCAGGAGTTAGGCTATTGGCTTTATCATTCTAAGGAAGGCCTTTGCATGTCAAAAGTTAGGTTTCTTCATTCTGGAGAAGGGCTGAGAAATGTGACTCTCCTATTTGCAGAAGAGGGAGAAAGAGGACACCTTTCACTGCATATGAATAGTAGTCACTCTACAAAGCTGTCAAGACAGTTAAGATTATCTGGGCTCCCAGAGTGTAAGTGGTGGTGTACAAGTGGTGATTTATTAGCCAGCCTCAGTGTTGGTAGCAGGTCTGAATTCAAATCCATCTCCTTGTGTTTAATTTTAGGTTGGGTGCTTAACTTCTCTGAGCCTGTTTCCTCAGTAGTAAGAGGGGAATAATTGTAACCTTTTAATTGGATAGTGTTGAGGACTAAAGGAGATAATATATTTTAAGCATGTGACATTTAGTAGGTGTTCAGTTACTTCCTTTCCACCCTTACCTGTATGATAACTCACCAGCAAGCTCTAAGGAGATTGCAAGAGACCAGAGGAAACTCTAGGTAAAGGCCTCAGGATTTTCTTAGGAGTCCTTAATTCTACCCACAGCAAAAGTCAGATGAAGGAAGAGGAGGAGGAGGAGGGGGGAAACCTTTGTAGGGGCCTGACAAGCATAAGCATATTTCCCTTTTTAATCTAGACTGAGAAAATACAGGCTTCTGTTCTCCAGATGATGAAACACAGCACCTGGATTTACTGAAATATGGGAGTAGGCTCAGGAACAGGTTTCCCTCAATGAGTTGATTCCTTTTTCAGCAAGTTTTCAAATCCACCACCAGATTGTGGCCAGTCTTCCTGTGCTGGGTCCTGAACCTATTGAACATGGGGGTTTTAATGTTTTGTCACCTTAATGATAGCCAGCTTGTTAAGGACGAGCCAAAAGGGAAGAGGTGTAGGGTAGTAACGAATGAATCTGAATGACACTGTAATGCCTTGGAATGAATCCCTGACAGGAAGGTGATGGATGTACAGAAATTCAAATTCCTTTAGTTTCTGGCCCAGGATCCATGTGGGAAGATTGGTTGATGTGATTGATTGCCAGGAGGGTAAGATGAATGAGGATGGAAGAGGCTTGGAAGAAGTAGGACTAAGAGCTTTTTGGGGAAGTTGACAAACTTTTCACAGAATTCCCAATTACTCTGGGTTTCATTAGTGAAAACCTCAGATATAAACCCACAAAAAATATAAGGCATGTTCTTCTTGAGTGACAATTTGGACAGGGCAGCAGGGGATGGTTTTTTTTTTAAAAAAAAATCCCCTCTAGGGAATGTCAGCAAGGCCCCAGGGAAAATGTCAAAGCCTCTGGTACTTGGGTTCTTTGGATAGAGATTGAGTTAGGAATAAAGGGAGAAAGTCCACATTGTTCATTTCCCTAACACAGCATCACAACTCAGGTTTCATGATGGGTTCTTTGGCATCTATGTTTACTGAGGTTTAACCTCAAGACCAGATAATTTTATGTTTTTGGTTTTCTTTTTCTCCAAGTCACAGGAAAATAATCTTTTGGTTGCCTATTTATTCACCACAATTTTGTGCTTAGTATCTCTTCCATTCCCTCTTCTACTAACTCTATACACACACACACACACACACACACACACACACACACACACACTCACTCTTCCTTTCTGTCGCTAACTGTAGTGTTTTTTACCTTCCTTAGAAGAAGGGAGGTAGAGGAAATGTTTCTGTTTTTTTGACATAGGCTAAATTGTCTCTGGTCTCTGGCATCTGTGATAGTTTTAAAAGCACTGGAGTGGACTCTCAAAGCACCTGCTCATGGTGTCTACTGAGATGCCAAGTTCCTTAATGAACATTTCACCTTCCTTTTCATTAAAAAAAAATTATTTCCTGTTGGCATTTAAAAATAACTTAGGCTTGGCCTTTGCTGAGAGGGGAGACCCCCAAGGTGGAGATGCTCAGATTTAGATCAGTGGCTTAGCTCCTAAGGCTCTTTTTGGGAAACTACTCCTCCCCCAAAGATTGCCAGTGGAAGATGTAGAAATGCAAATGGGGAAGGTAGAATCCACAACTTTCCTAGTCTCTTGCCCTGGGGCCCAGGTCCTTGGTGTACAGACGCCCCAGGAAGCCAAAGTTAAGAGAGTAAACACACTTTGAATATGGTTCAAGTTCAAAGGGCTTCCTTGTTCCTCAAGTTGCTTAAATTGCATTAAAATAACACCTCTTAATCTGGGAATCTGGATTGGCCAGTTTCTCAGTCTCAATTTTATTATTTGTCAAACACTGTTGTCAAGGTGATTGGATAGTTCTGGTTTTTCACTTAGTTTTGTGCATAATTGGAATACATCATTCCCTTTCTGATCCTAAGTTTTCCAAAGAGAGAAATAAAAGGTCTCAGCTGGATATACATTCTAGAAGCATTTATTGGAAAATAAAGTTGAGTTCTCATTCTGGGAGTAAAACAAAATAGAGTCGTTTTACAGCTCTTTGGGAGGGGTGGGGGGGGGGATTTCTCTTGGGGGTTGAGGGTTGTATAGATAAGTTGTAGTCACCTGTCCACTTACTGGGACCATTACTTCTCCATGGTCCAAAGGTGGTTTCTGAGCTGGAAAAGTCCTCAGGTCATGTTGGATCCTGGTTCCCCAGGATTGGGTGGGAAGAATTTTTCAAAAGTGCATACTCAGGTGAAAAACACAACTACAAGCCTCCCACGAGGCAGGTATGTGGTCTCTGCTGCATTCATCTGCATAAACTTGTAGCTGGTCTTTTTGGAGCTAGTCAGAGTAGGGGAAGGTTGCTCCTTCAGGAGCCTGGACAGAACTCTGTCACTTTCTGCTTCCATTCCCTCTGATTCTCAGCGGCACAGCTAGGTTGAACGTGTTCTGAAACTTACAGGGAAACATTACTTTGAAGGTCCCTCTGGATATGGATCCCAAACCAAATAACCTCCAAAAGTACAGGTACAAAAACCAGGAAGTAACTTGTGGGAAGATACAATTAGGAGGCCCAGGCTCCAATTTCATACTCTGTTAAGAGTATGCTGTATAATCTTCAGCCTCAATTTTCCCATGTATTGCAGATATCAAGACCAACCCTGTGATTTTCCAATATACTCTGTCCAAGGGAGAAGCTCTGTCCCCCTCCATTGTCATTCAACTGGACAAGTAAGTTTGTGTGGAGTGTTATCATGTGCTGCCCTTGCCTCGAGACCAAGCACTGCCTAGGGAGCGGGTGCAATAGTACTTGTTCACCACATGCTTACACTGGTCACACTTGACTATACAGCACCACTGGAATTTGCAGTTACAGCTGCTGATGGCCTCAGTTCTCCTCCCTTCCACCTGCAGGCCACACTCAGTGCACAGGCGCCTGCAGCTGTGTCGATCCCACCTGGATGTGTTGTGGCTGTTCTGCAAACATTCCCGACCCTCTGTGCCCAAGATGCCCAGGCTGGAATTGTGGATACAGTAATTTGGTGATTCTTCTAAAAAGATCAGTTCAGCCTCTGCACTGGGAAGGAAGGCTTCTCTGGGTGTCCAGTGGCCCTCGGCACTGTTCCCAGCTCTTAGCTGCCGCTTATCCATCTCAATTTTCAGTGCTTGATCATACTTGGCTTTTAGGAAGTCTCCTATCTCCCGTAAGTCAGCCAGCTGCATCCAGCATGTCTGGATGCTGCAGCTCCCTGAGATGCCATGGCATTTGCAGGTCCTTTTCATGGTGGCTCTTACGGCCTTCACAGAAAGACAGAGAAAGATAGTACAAGTGAGAGAATTGCTCTGGATAGGAAAGACCAAATTTTAGAGGATCCTTGGAATTACTTGGGGGAGCCCATGAAAAATATTTTTTCCTGGGTCCTACTTCAGATCTTATCAATTAGAATGTTCATAGATTTAAGGGCCCTGGTATTGGTGAATTTAAAGCTCCACTGGGTGATTCTTAAAGAAAGCCAGGCAAATGTTGACTAGATTATTGGAGTCAGGAAACCGAGACTCCAGGCCCAAACTTCGTCACTTGAGCTTGTTGCTTTATCTGCCCAATTGGAATAAGAATGATCCAGAAAGTACTTTGTAAATTATAAAAGAAAATATGATCATTAGCACTGATATTGTTTTGAATCTGGGGGCTAGAGTATTTGTGGGGTCTGGATTTGTGCTCTGAGACCTCTCTCAGAGGGAGGGAAGCTCCTGGAGTTTGAACCTCTACCCCAAAGCAATTACCCACATCTGTAATTGCTCTGAAGACCTCTTCCCCTTGCCCTGGGCAACCAAGACATCTAGATATAGGTTCAAAAGGAAATTTCTATGCTCTTAGCTCTAAATCCAACTTGCTTCCAGATCTGAGTTCAGAATACCTAGCAGGGGTGGGAACTTCCGGCCTATGGGCTGCATAAGGTCCGAGAAATCATTTGGTCTAGCCCTGCCAAGGCATTAGGGTTGAGTTAATTAAATGACCAAATATAGCAGGCTAATTTTAAAAAAATAATTAAAAAATAATATTTTATTGATTTCAGAGATGAAGAGAGAGAGGGAAACATCAATGATGAATGATTGGCTGCCTCCTGCATGCTTCACACTGGGGATAGAGCCCACAACCTGGACATGTGCCCTGACTGGGAATCAAACCGTGATCTCTTAGTTTATAGGTCAATGCTCAACCACTGAGACACACCAGCTGGGCAAAAGGGTTAAAAATTTTAAAGTTACAGAAGCAAGGCCTTGATTCTGGACTCTCAGAAACCTGCCTGTGGAGGAGCCAGAGCACCAGGTTTAGTGATAAGAGGACTAGACACCAGACCTGAGTTCATTGTCTGCCTATGATGCTTATTAGTTGTATTGCCTTGACTAAGCCACTTGGAATGGCCTTAACTGGCTTTTTCATCCAGAGAATGGGGGTAACCATCTCAGTCCTGGCTGGGTGGTGTGAGGCTGAAACATGGATATGAGATAGCTCTTGGTAAGTTGTGAAAGGCTGTACAGATATGAAGCTGTTGCCAATACTGGGCCTGATGGCTGACTGGCCAACTCCCATACCCACCAGCCTGCCTGCCCTGTTGTTGTGAAGATTCATCAGGGCTCTGGCATCCTTTCCCTTCTCCAGGCTGTCCACAAAGAGTTTGGAAATCCTTTCCCCAAATTCCACATTGTCGCTGCAGCCTCCCCAGATCCAGCCATGGCCTCCTATACATATGAAAAGAATAAGTTCTGTGTACAGTTCCCTATGAAGTCCCAGGAGAAGAGTCATGGTCATCTTGGCTGACACGCAGCTCTGTACTCCTCATCCCTTCCTCCCATTAGAGAGCCCAACATACCTGTTTTTCCATTTTTTGACTCATCACAGCCACAGCTTTCAAAGTCGCCCATGCTACAGTTCTTGGTGATGGTGTGCATGACTCCCGCAGAGCTGATAGCATGAATGAATGAAGTCTCCCTGGTGGCTTTGGAGAGAGAAAGGGGACTCGAAACATGGACTCTGATGACCTAAAACAGAGGCTTTGGAAAAGCAATGCTGTTCCTCTCCCTTGTCTCCTGCCCCTTTGAATTTAAGAGGATGCTCTTCTACTTGAGAGAACAGTACGTATCTTGTTACTTCATTCAGGCAGGAATGAGTATCCCCACGCTCTAGAAGTAAAACCCAGAGATAAAAGAGTGATGGGACCAAGGCCACTTTCCTCACTAGCTGTGGTGTTGAGAGCAGGACTCTTCTCTCCAGAAGTCCAGCCTAGGCCTCTGGTCATTACCCACTGCTTTTGGGCCTCTGGCATTGAGGACTCATGCCCTGAGGCTGTCTTAGGAAACAGAGGACCTTTTCTTCCTTCTGACATACAACTAGAGCCCTGTAATAATCATAATGATCATGGCTACCACTTACTGAGCTTGTATCTTTTTTTTTTTTTTTTTTAATTCTCACCAGAGGATATTTTTCCATTGATTTTTATTTTTTTTTAAATATATTTTTTATTGATTTCAGAGAGGAAGGAAGAGGGGAGAGATAAACATCCATGAGGAGAATCATGGATCCTCTGCCTCCTGCACGCCCACTACTGGGGATCGAGCCCACAACCTGGGCATGTGCCCTTCACCGGAATCGAACCTGGGACCTTTCAGTTCGCAGGCCAACACTCTATCCACTGAGCCACACCAGCTAGGGCTCTGTTGCTTTTTAGAGAGAGTGGAAGAGAGAGGGAAAGACAGAGAAATATTGATATGAGAGAAACACATCAACTGGTTGCCTCCTGCACGTGCCCCAACCAGGGCCCAGGCCAGGAAGGATCCTGCAACCGAGGTATGTGCCCTTGACTGGAGTCGAACCAGAACCCTTCGGTCTGCAGACCGACGCTCTATCCACTGATCCAAACTAGCCAGGGCATGAGCTTGTATCTTCTTCTTTAAAAAAATAAATAAATAAATAAATAAATAAATAAATAAATATTATTGATTTTTTACAGAGAGGAAGGGAAAGGGATAGAGAGTTAGAAACATCAATGAGAGAGAAACATTGATTAGCTGCCTCCTGCACACCCCCTACCGGGGATGTGCCCACAACCAAGGTACATGCCCTTGACCTGAATTGAACCTAGGAACCTTCAGTCTGCAGGCTGACGCTCTATCCACTGAGCCAAACCTGCAATGAGCTTGTATCTTAACTCTTTATAAACATTGTCCCATTTCATTTCCATGCACTCCCCATTCTTTCTGTATACCCCACAGGGAGATATTTCTTTTTGTCTTCATCTTCTTTACTCCTTCCCCCAACTCTTCTCTGGCAACTCTTTATTGTTTCTATGCAAACTACTACACAGTTACAAATAGCTGCACAGATGCACACACAGGTGTACACACATACCCCACCTGAGGCACAGCTCAGTGTGATCTCTCAGCTCCTATGCTGTTGGGATTTTATGGCAGCTGGGCAGATGAGATATTCCCTCACAAACGCAGAGCCTTTTCCCCATTTTTATTTCGTTCAAATCAGTGCAAGATAAGTGAGTTCAAACACACAAATATAGGCATGCACTTTTTAAAAACAGAGTAATTATTACATTTGTATAGAAACACCTCATTCAATCCTTACAATGCTCCTGGTGGGCTGGTCTTATGATAAAATAACAGAACTGGGGCTGAGAGAGGGGAAGTAACTTAGTCAAGTCACACAGCCAGGAAGTGGCAGGTCAGCAGATCACCGATAACTTTTTCATATCACTGTGCACATATATGCTACACATGCACACATACTGCAAGCCCACCTCCATGCACATATCCCCCCTGTACAAGTGCACAAACTTACCACCTCTCAGCCTGTTGTGAGTAGAGAGCTGGAGAGCATTTTCAGGGCAGTTCCAGCGTTCCCAAGCAAATTGGAACTTACACTCTTCAATGCCACTCTGGGCACCCAGCGCCACACTGGTAGTGTAGGTCAGATAGGCCTTGCAAAGGGAAAAGGGCTATGAGCTTCGGGCCCAGCTCAGATCAGGTCATCTGGGGAGCAGGCAGAACTCAAATGGGTTAGCTCTCTATGAAGGAACAATCATGGGTTCTTCTGGGTGAGGGATTCTGGTACTATCTCCCTCCCCTCTTTTCCTTCCCCCAAAGAGATCCCTTAGGAAGCTGAATGGGTAAAAATAGAAGCCAGAGAGCATCCTACCTTGGGACCTGTTATCAGGAAATTGTTCACTGACCTACCAAAGAGAGAAAAAGTGAGGCATTGGTGAACAGGGCTGAGATAATGGGGCTACCTTGGCAGGGAGTGAGGGTGGGGGAAAGACTTACCAGGCAGAGGCACTGAAAGTGGCATAGCATATGCCCACAGCCACCCTGAGCATAAACAGGACTCCCATGGCCCTGCCCTCCCCGAGAGGACTAAATTCAGCCCAGGGACAAGTCCAGAGAAAAAGTGAGGAGAGGGCAGGGTCTTCCTCAGTATATATGTTGGGAAATTCTGAATGGCCAAGGGGGAAAAATCAACAGCCCTTTTCATTTGTCCCTCACTGGCAGGGCTGCAGGAGCCACTGGCCCAATGGGGGACCAGGGAGGAGGGACTGAGGCCAAAGCCTCAAGGAAAGCCCCGCCCTACCTCACCCCACCCCGCCCCTCCAGCCCTTCTTCCCTCTCCTCCAGCCCTTCTTCCCTCCCAGGTTGACAGAGGGTCTGAGGTCTTTCCATACTCTGGAAATATCTTCCCTCTATAAATGAGACTTATGTCTCTTCCTCCTTGAGGGCTCATTTCTCAGACTCTTATAGCATGGAGCAGGCAGGGTTCCTAACCCTGAAGGTAGGTCACCTGTCCCTTGGAGCTTCAGTGCCTTATCTGTCAAAGAGACCCCACCCCTTACCCTGCCTTGCTCCCTAAGGTGTTAATAATTATGTAGTTACCCAAGTAAGGGGTACACTATTCCCCCCTCCTCCCTTGTTGACTATGAAGTCATGGAATTGTGGGACCAGGAAGCAGAAACACTGCAGAGTTCACCTCTATAGCAGTTCCTTCTAGCACATTCTACCAAAGTAAGCTCTAGTGAATTTCTTTCATTCCTAATATGTCTATCATTTTGTATTTGAGGGTTAGATCTCCAGTTTGTTAGCTGTTTGTATACGTGGGAATCAACCTTTGGACCACCCAGGGCTGTATTTGAAAAGATTGATGGCTTTCTTTCTGATACCACTTTGTTTCAAGGACATCAGCCCCTTAGGCAGGAATCTGTCTTTTAGATTTGCTTAGTAGTCTTAGTGCTTAAGAAGATGTCTGGATGAATGAAAAATGGGTCTTATGCTTCTTTGTTCCCCATAGCACCTGGCATTCAGTTGGTATTCTATAAAAATATTCCTTTATTTTCTAGAAAGCAGAGGGGAAATTAGTGTGCTTTTTGTGTGCAAACTTTGTGCTTGCTCCTGTGCAGATTCTCTAAAGATATAAAATGTTTTTTAAAGGAATTTAAAATATTAAGGGAAGGCCTCTGCTCTAGGTATTGGGAGCCATAGACTTTGGCCACTAATCTGTTATGTGACTTTGGGCAAGCTGTTAACTACTGTGTGCATTCAGTTTTGTCATCTATAAAATGAGAGAGTAGGGAAAATGTTGAATGTTGAATGAACTCTAAAGATTTTCCCAGCTCTCTTGCATGCTTTAATCCTAATTTTACAATTTGCAGAATTTATTAATGCCAGAGGTGACTGTAGGCCAGACATGGGGAAATATTGTCTTCCCTAACTGTCAGCATGAGAATCACCTTAGTTAACTTTGAATCCTTCAGTTGGCCATCAAGATAGACCTGTAAGATAGATACCTGGAGACAATCAATGCCTTCTTCAGAGTCCTCTAGGATTCTGTCTACATAAGACCTCTGTGCTGAACTGTCCAAATCCTTCATTGTGGACAGAGGGGTTTCCTGGGAGGAGAAAAGAGCCAGAGACAGGCACTCCACTCTAGAGTCTACAGATCATTTGCAACCAAACTGTGCTTCCATTTCCTTAACCCCAGCTCTACTCTCTCATTAGTAGTTTTATTAATTTACTAGAGACCCAGTGCATGAATTTGTGTGTGTGTGTGTGTGTGTGTGTGTGTGTGTGTGTCGGGGGGCTGGGGTGTCTGGCTGTCCCTCCCCGATTGGGGCGATAGGGCCAGCCCGGCCCAGGGGAGCAGACGCGGGAGGTTGGCCGGCCGGCCTCACTCCCTGGTTGAACTCCGGTCAAATGTCCAGCAGAGGGGACAATTTGAATATTATCCTTTTATTATATAGAATTTTAGTTTATTTAAAAATTTTTAATTGATTTATAGAGAGAGAATAAGAGAAAGGGAGAGAGAGAGAAACATCAATGATAAGAGAATCATTGATTGGCTGCCTCCTGCACATGCCCTACTGGGGATCGAGTTCATAACTGGGCATGTGTCCTTGACTAGAATCGAATCCGGGACCCTTCAGTCTGAAGCTCGACACTCTATCCACTGAGCCAAACCAGACAGGGCTCATTGGTTTTTAAATGATGACCCAACTCTTGGTTTCTCTTTTTCTGGAATGGAAATCTGGAATGAAGATTAGAGCAGAAGATGACAGTAGAGATAGAGTATGCCTATGACAAGACAGAATAGTGTCTCTGAACCAGTGGTGTTCTGATAAGTGTTTAACAACTAGCTTTGGTGTGACAGAAGCCATAATTGGTAGTATTTGCTGATTTTCATGGTGTATTCTCACGATGGCTGATTTCAAACTACCAATATGGACTTAGGAAGTAATGAACAGTAGCACATCATTATGTAATATTTTTATCATATCATAGAAATAATAGATGTAAGTAAACTTGAGTATAGATAAAGTAAAATGTAAAAAATTAGAAAGTGATGAATTTTCTTTTTTTAATTCTTTATTGTTTAAAGTATTACTACATATAAATTCTTTTCCCCACATTGTTCCCACCCCCTCAACACATGCCCTTACCCCCCTACTGACTGTGTCCATGGGATATGCTGATATGCATGCATACAAGTCCTTTTGTTGATCTCTCACCTCCCCAAAAGGGATGAATTTTCATTACTTGTTATCTTTGTTTTTAATATAACTTATTTAATTGTAAGTTTATCCAATTAAATTTCTTCTCTTCTTTTTAAAATTGTTGGCAGTATTACAGATGTCCCCCATTTCCCGCCCTTTGCCCCCTCCACTCAGCCCACACCCCTAAAATTTAATTTTGTTTTTGTTAATCCTCAACCAAGGATATTTTTGCATTGATTTTTAGAGAGAGTGGAAGAGAAGGAGAGAGACACAGAGAGAAAAACATCGATATGAGAGAGATGCATCAATTGGTTGCCTCTTGCACGTGCCCCGATCCGAGTCGAACCTGAGACCCTTCAATCTGCTGGCTGACACTCTAACCACTCAGCAAAACTGGCTAGGGTCAATTTAATTTTTAATAATGGCTGTGTTTAAGAACCAGTTTGCAAAGTTCCTGAAAATTTAGCAATCAGTTCTCTAAGTCAGGAGCCACCTCCCAGAGCACCACTGTAGGCCATTCATAGAACCATAGAGTGTCTCAGCTAAAGGGTTCCATTTTACAAGGAGGTAACTGAAGTTCAGGACTTACTCAGGGTTACACAGTGAGTTTGGCCCAAGAGAGCCTGGATCCTACCATTCTGCTTTCCCCAGGACTGAGGGGTTTGCTGTGGTGTAGGACTCTAGGTGCTTAAACAAGGACAGTCTTGGGCAAACTAAGATTGTTGGTCACCTGTGATGATGATGGTGTGCATCCCAGGCCAATACTTCTTTCCAAATGTGCACTTTCATTGAACTCCCCAAATCCCTGTTCCCCCACTTTTCTTTTCCAGTCTCCTTCCAGGGCTTTGAGCCTACAGAACAATTTGGGGGTCTTTGAGGGGAGAGAGTATGGAGTGAGAGGGTGGAGAGTGGCTGGAGAATGCCAGAAAAGAGATAGGATTTCTGACTTTTTACACGACTCTGCTAATTAGATAAGGAGGGTGGGAAGCAGGAGAATGGGCCTCCTTGCATATTCTACAGAGTTGTGACACTGAACAGAGCTCAGGAATTTTCAATCTCTGCCACCCCTCCTCCCTGGAACCTTGTCTCTTCCTACCCCCTGGGGATACTTGACTCCCAGTCCAAATGCCTTAGCTTCCTGGGCTCCTGACCCTCCCTTTGGCCCTCAGTTGAGTCTTAATGACTTGCAAAGTTCCTCAGTGGTATGCCCAGAGAAGGAAGAGGGGAAACCTTGTGTCCCTTTCAGATCCAGGGTTCCTGTTGTGGGGAGAAGGCACTCCTGTGTGGAAAATGGGAACAGTTGGTGTCTGTTAAACACATGGGCCTGGAGGGCTGGGGTACATTAGAGGGGATGTCTGCAAGCCATGACTAGATTTGTTTCATGTTCAATGGTGTGTTTCCTTTATCAATCTAGAAGCTCCCTGGGGCTAGGCCTTGTCAATCCCAATTACTAGAGACTCTATCCAAGGATAGTAGCATTTTCTCCCACCAGATTGAGGTGCCAGATGGCAGAAGCTACAACTTCACCATTAGCCTAGGAAGGTTTGGAGTTGGAGGGGCTCCTCCAAAGAGAGATTTAAGTTGGCAAAAACCCCTTAATTATATCTTTTATTCTTTTACCATTCTGAACTCCCATCTCTGGACACTGGATAGTGCACAGAAATTCACAATTAATGATCCTTGATTGATCGTTGGGAAAGAAAGTATAGTAATAATTGTAGGATTTTATTAGTTTTCAGAGACATATGCATTTATTTATTCATTCTAAAAATGGTTATCTATTGAGTTCAGGCCAGTACCCAACACTTCTGGGTCTAAGATGAATTATCCTTAATTTATGTTTTTATTCTGAAGGAGTTCTCAGTCTGGTATGAGAGATAAAATTACAAATAATTTATAATACTCCAGTGAGATACAGTACTCTGGAAAGGTTAGAGGGGTGTGTGTGTGTGTGTGTGTGTGTGTGTGTGTGTGTGTAATGAGACAATTCCTTGGAAGAGGACTTCTAATAGAGACCTGCCATCTGGTGGCAGCAAGTGGTACAAGAGGCTCTTTGTTGATGGGATGTGGGATTCAGTACAATTTCAGCCTTTGTTGAACTCCTGCCTAATGGGTAGCCAGCTCAGAGTTGGCATTGTGGTGGATATACAGTAATGCTTCTAAGATGATCTTGACCTTGAAAAACTTGTGGGTATAAGATATAATTGAGAAACTTATCAACCAAGCAACAAATACTTGATGTGTGCTCATGAATAAATAGGCTTTTAAAAAAGTATGTGATTCATGCTTGTTACTAATGTGAGAGAAATACATCAATTGGTTGCCTCTTGTATGTACTCCAACCAGGGCTCGGG